TATTCTGGCTAATGTTACAGAGGCAGCCAAGGTAAGGAAAATTTATCAGACTTGTATAATATTTTCTAATTTTTTCTCCTTTACAGATGGTTGATGGTAGCGATCTGGCTCCATCGCACAAGGTTAGTTTTCTCCTGAGGAATCTACAAAACTTTAAGCTGTAATAACAAGTACAGTAATTAGTATTATTTATTTCATAGGCTACCCTATGTTGACAAAACCACGAAGTCAACAAAATGCACATATTCGAGCAACAAGCCTAAAAGTTTATTAGTAACAATGGCATAGTAAAACATCCTCCCACAAATTCATGGTAAAAATAGACAGTTCTTTAGAACTTCATTTAATTATGCAAATTTTATAACAAAGGATTTCCTTTCTCATTAGTTTATCAAGATCAGTGCTGACTCTCTGCACAAGAAAGCTTCTCCTGATATTCCTTTTAGATATTGGAACTTCTTAAACTTGTTATGTTGTTATCTTATCTTTTCTTAGCATCCACAAATCTCAGTGCGTATGCATACTTACACACAAAATGAACTTAACAGATGTCCCATAGGTGAAATTTGATAAGCTCTAACATTTTAAAAGATATACTAATTTTTAAAATCATTTTTGCTGGCAAGCGAGGGGGCATAGGTACAGTTTTCGAGTTATAATTTCTTGTTTACTTGAGTAATATCTTAGTGCCAAAATTCAAAAAAGATCGAACATTCGAAATACTTAGTGCTTGAAATTTTTTAGTATCGAGCTGGACTTGAATTGACAACAATTTTACTGTATATAAGCTTCATTTCTTTTTGGAATTGTAATATCCCAAGTGTATATCGCTTGATTTTCTAGCAGGGCCTAGAGCGTCGCCCTGAAGGATGAATAAATAAATAAATAAAATTAAATCAGCTCTCGGTTCAGGTGCGACAAATTCGAATAGCTGGAGATCTAATGCTTGGAGGAGTTTTTCCAGTGCATACGAAATCGCAGAATCCAGATGAGCCCTGTGGGGAAATTGCCGAAACAAGGTTTTTGCCCTGTTCTAAATCTCTTCAATCCTATGGCTATTCAGCCCCTCAGCCAATCGTCTATTTTCAGAGGAGTACATCGAGTAGAGGCTATGCTATATGCGTTAGACCAAATAAATGCTCAAAAAGATTTTTTACGCGGGTATAAATTGGTACGAAAAGCTTTTGCGAAACAATCTCATATTTCAAACCAGAAAATAGAGCATTTTAGGGGGCTTTGATACTGGATTCATGTTCAAATCC